CTCCCCGACTCTCACCCCCAGCGGTTCAGAAAGAGCCGCGTGCTACTCGCCAACCGCATTTTGGCCACGTGTGCCACTTAACCTGTATAGGTATGAAGTGTTACCGCTGTGTTAACCTGCTTCATACTTTGTTTATGCCTAAGCGCTCGCTGATTCATTTAGCTTGACGGAAGGCTTGCGTCACTGCGCCCGTGTTGAAGGTAAATGATTCATTCAAACTGTAAGGGATCCCCACGCACTGTAGGCATAGACTCGCCCGTGTGTATCCGGTCAGCCTGTTCTGGCGTCAGCTGCATTCTTCGAGAGCACGAGAGTCAGAAGTGAGAAAAGTGAAGTTGTATTTGTGATTCTGTTACCGGTGGTTGTGTAGAGGTCCGTCATCTGGGATATAACGCTATGTAGTCCGTTGAAAATCAGCCGAATGTTCGTTTGATGTTTTCTTACTTGTAGATGGAATCGACATGTTCCATCGAAACGTCAGTTAACTCATGAAGGGACTACAGCTGCGTTATATCCCTGAAGATGGAAGTGTTCTAATTTTAAGATGATTATCTAACTATTTTTACTTTTATCTAGTTTTGCGCATTGGCACGCGTTATGTAACCCTGAGCAGTCTCAGAACGCAAATGCTTCGTGCGATCATTGCACCGTAAAACGAACGCACAATAGGGAGGTAATGTAGTGCTACATCTTTTGGCTTGCCAGCAGCTTGCATTTATAGAATAGCCGAATGCTTTTTGATTAAATTTAGTTTTCGTAGGTCGTCACAAAAATTTGTTCGACGGTGTTCACCTTGCCTTTTATCAGTTGAATAAAACCCCGTTTTGTATGAAAGCGAATTGAGACTTTGTAGTCATTTGTCTAGTTGTGGTTGGTTTAACGACACTGTCAGCTTATGGACCGTCGATTGTCAACTTTTCGCATCTTGCATCTGACCGGTCGTTTTGTCAGGAAAGTAAGTAGCCCCACTGGTGCAACCAGAGGTCTCCATTTTCCAAGAAATGTATTTTTGTAATTGTGTGCTATGTACGTTATATTAACCATTAATGGAAGTTTTTTAAGAACTTCCAGATAGTGGTTTTTTTTATAATGCGTTTTAATGTAATGGAGCGCCTCTGTGGTCTAGTGGTCAGAGGTCCGGGTTCGATTTCCGGCGCTACGAGACTTTCTGAGAAGTGTAATGGATCTGGAACGGGGTCCGCTCAGCCTCGTGAGGATAATTGAGGAGCTATTTCGAGGAAATAGCGGCTCGAGTATAGAAAACCGAGATGAACGACAGTGGGCATTCGTTGCGCTGACCACGCGACACCTCCATCCGCTACAGTTGGCACTAACTTCACCGACAAGCGGCGGTTGCTCGGTCGGTATAGTTTGTTTGCGGACTAAAGCCACGGAGTTTGTATTGTAACAACGTAAAACGTATTTCTGTTAGCAGAAGGACTGTCATGGTGCACCAGTGGCAAGAATACTGTGCTTGCAATGCAGGGAAATGATTGTCATGTTCTAGAACTCGCGTCCCACGAGCTGACCGTCACATTCCGCCCGTTGGGAAACACTGGTTTTAAGACTGTACGGGCTCTTTAAGGACTCAGGATGATCGGTGGCCTTCCCGAGTTTCGAAACGAACGCCTTTCGAATGCTATTCAGAAGCGTTGGCGCTTGAACCAGCTTGCGATCTTGTCTGTTGTGTTGTCCCGTAGGCCTACTGGTAAAGGTTTTAGGGTAGGCCGAACCCCCGCCGAAGGAATCGTACCAAATATTTAAAGAAATTCGGGGGTTTTAGAATTGAGTTCTGAACCACCTTGGATGAATGATAACTGAAGAAGAAATAAATTTAGAAAGTAGACAGACGGCGTCCAACACACGCACGCAGTTCAAATTTGTCCATTTTTTTGTAATCACTGTAGGCTGTCGTAGCTCAGCTGGTATGGTAACCACGCTACGGGCTGGACCAGGGTTCGATTTCCGGCAGTGCAGAGCTTCGACTCTTGTCCACTGAGACTGGTGCCCGACTTGAACCTAAGCCTCTTTACACAAGGGCAAATCGGTCAAGGCGTGAAGTTGACGATTCACTTGTATCTAGTTCCAAGGTTATGAATGCGTGTCTGCCGAAAGGGCCCAGTAGTGCGCCGGTGCTCTGCGTGAACAGTTTGCGTGCGTAACAGGCCCCGGCATACGTCCAGCCAGCAACAGGAATTCGCACCGAGCAGGCAGTGTTCGTGTATATTTAGTTCTTGACCTATATGCAGCATCTCACGCTGTACTCCCCTGTTCACGCAGTGGAACTGCTGGAAACGGTGGACAGACCATAACAAAGGAAAGACTGGAAAAATAAAAAAAAATATGTTTAAAAAGTAATGCTACATACTATGACCCTGGGGTCGACTCAGCCTCTAACAGAAATGAGTACCAGTAATTTTCCTGGGAGGTGAAGGGTGGCCGGCCCGTAAGGCTGACGACCTTACCGCCATCTGTGAGCCGACTGTGTAGAAAATATGGGAGCCTCGACGTCTCACAACCATGTGGGCTTCCACGGTGTGTTACAGGGATAACTTTACCTTTTATCCTTGTGGACGCATAGTTTCACGCTTCTTAACCATTGGATAGGAGGCTGGTCCCGGCGCTGTGGAGAAAGTGTTAGGCCTGCTGGGAATCGAACCACGTATGTTTTCGTAGCTTGGTTAAGTACAGAGACAGGTGCACCTTTTACGAAGTACAGTGATTTCCACTGGGACTGTGTGTTCGACCGACGATATTCACCTTTTACAAAATACAGTGATTTCCACTGGGACTGTGTGTTCGACCGACGATATTCACCTTTTACAAAATACAGTGATTTCCACTGGGACTGTGTGTTCGACCGACGATATTCACCTTTTACTAAGTACAGCGATTTCCAATGGGACTGTGTGTTCGACCGACGATATTCACCTTTTATGAAGTACAGCGATTTCCACTGGGACTGTGTGTTCGACCGACGACATTGGCGGTTTGAACGTGGCGGTAGTCACGTGTGAGGATAGGAAACTTGCACGCCACCTGTCCGGCGAACCGCAGCATCTTGAAGAAGGTTCCCTGCCCTTGTTTTGTGTTTCTGTTGTGGAGTGAACCATGGTACGTCGTGCAAGGTCACAGAATGTTCCTGACGAGGAATTCGTAGATAGGGGACCTGGTAAGATTAAGTGCACTAAAGGGGTGAGTCAGTAGGGGGAGCAAGGAAACCATCTGCACATATGTGTGGGACCCGAGACGCGCCACGTATGGTTTGGAAGTTGTCTGCCAAGTTTGGACAAGAAGTGAGGCAACTTACTGGGGAGGGTGTTTTATTTTTGTAGTATGACATGTCTGACAATGTATTTCGGCTGTGTTAATGTGATATGAGTGATTTTAAAGTTAAATATATGTATTTTTTTTTACGTAGATGCATGATTTTAGTAGCTTATTAGGGCATAGGTGTATTTTGCGTAGCCCCACCACCACCACCATATGTTAAGGTCGTTAAGGCATCTCAAACAACAAACACATGTTTTCATTATTATATGAAAAATTGTTTTGGTGCGAAATATTTCACAGGATTGATTTTGTAATGTGATAACGTTATGCATTCTCTTTGAAGTATTTAAAGATAGCGTGACCACGTGCTTGTGAGAATGTAAGCGATCCATAAAAAGAGATTATCGTTAGGAGCTGTCATAGACCTGTAAACTGTATAAAGACTACGAATTCTTGTCAGGATTGGGGGGTTTGATATGGTAGAAGGGGTTTTGTTGAGTGTAGTTCCACCTTCCTCGTGGTTAAGTCATTCATCATCGTACAGAAATGGATGTGTTCTGCAATATTCTATCGATTCCAGTTGCATTGTCCATCCTTCATAACAGAATAAAACGAAGGAGTATGTTAGTAATAAATTGCAACAGTTGCTTTCAGTTTATATTATTGTTTGGGTATTAAGGCTAGGAATCTATAAATGAATCACAGGGTCAGATGTGTAAGTGAAACCCAAATTCGTGTATAATAAGTGAATTGTAACTTCGTATGTGTGTGTCATGCATGCGTGCCTGTAGGTTGTGTATGTAGCTATTAATCATAGTACTTATAGCTTTTGATCTACAAGTGCTTTCAAAACCCTTGGTAGGTGTGTTAGTGGAACTAAATTTTAAAAGAAAAGGAATGATTTAAGCAAATCTTGACCTCCTCGAGCTTTGATTCTGTTTTGTACTAGTTGATAAACGAAAATTCTTTAGTCTCCTCTCTTTCCCCCCATTTTTCCCTTTTGATTTCTTCCCGTCTGTATCCTCTTGATTTCTGCCAGTATGTGACAGTTATTATCTTCTTCTGACTTATCCGTTACATCTCTTTCCTTTTAATTTTAACTCTCGATGCCCTTCTCAGAATCCTTGTTATGTCCACTCTTTTTAATGCATGTGCAAACCGTTGTAATCATTGCTTGTTGGACACTCATAAAATTTTGAATTGCAACTTACAGATCTCATTTCTGGTTCTGTCTGTACCACAGTAAAATTAAAACACTAAGACCGATTTTCCCCCTCCCCTCCAAAGAGGCAGTCCAACTAATTTTAAAAATTATACCATCATGACTTGTAATAATTGTGTCTCACATGCCAGTTGTATATTACAGAAGGCGATGGTTGCGCAACTGGGAAAGAAAATCGCCACGTTTTATGGAACTGAAATATTCAGTGCTGTTTATAGCGTACACACAATTTTGTAAAATATGGTATAATAAATAGTTGTCTTGTCGGGTCATGCTTTGTGAGCTGAGACAATTGGTACTCCATGTGTTATCACTAGGAGCACTTGCTGATAATTTTTTGTTTGAACCTTTTAGTTTTTTTCCACCCCAGATAACTGTTGTTCTGTTCCGCCATTGCTCATGTATACTGAGCCATCTTGTGCTGTTAGATACTTCATATAACAGCCATTTAAAACTGACCGCCATGTGAAAGCATTGTCATATGATGTATTTTGTGTTTTTGCAGTGGTGGAGCTAGTGTACTGGCGTGACCCCAAGAAGTCTGGGATTGTTTTTGGCACTGTGTTGGGAGTCCTGCTCTCTCTGTCATACTTCTCTCTTATCAGTGTAGTGGCATACCTGTCGCTGGCTCTTCTCACCGCAACTATCAGCTTCCGCGTCTATAAAAATGTTCTGCAAGCGGTTCAGAAAACTTCAGATGGACACCCCTTCAAGTGAGTAGCGAATCCGTAATGACTGATAGACTAATCTTTTTGGGTCTGTCATATAGTCCAACCTATAGGAGGTCACATTCTGGTTTTATGTTATGCCAAGCAGATTGTTTGAGATTAAATGGCACAGCTTCGGAGCACAATGACAAGTTCACTTAACACATTTTTGCCCAAAAGTGCCAGTGGCCCAGTTTACCAGTATGTGATGACACCAAAGGGTTGCCAGATATCACACACGCTGTGTTCCCTTTATAACTGTGTACATGACATAATCTAAAAGGAAACAGAACACCAATATTTCACTGTTTTAATCAACCGACTGAGCGACCAACGCTTGTTGGCGAAGTTAGTGCCAACTTTAGCAGATAAGAGTGTTTCGCGTGGTCAGCGCAATGAATCCCATGGCCATTAATTTCAGTTTTCTAGACCGGAGCCGCTATATCCTTGAAATAGCTCCCGACTTATCCTCATGAGGCTGAGTGAACCCCGTTCCAGATGCACTACTTCTCAGAAAATCTGGTAACACCAGAAATCTAACCCCGGACCTCTGGATCTATAGCCAGGAACTCTGACCACTAGACCACAGAGGCTGTCATCATATGTACAAATATTCAATTTCTAGTTAATAGAGCTATTCATATTTTCCAGTAGCAGATGTCACAGCTTTCAGTATAGCAGAACTGACAGTTCTAGAGGAAGCGCAAGTGGCAGTACCTCAACTTTTGGGGCATGAATTGATGAACTTTATTATACTGTACTAAAACCCTAACCAAAGCTCTAACCTAACCTCATTCAGATCAACAGCCATGAGGTTTTGGTACCAAATAACAGTACACCACCCTCTCACCCTCTGATCTTCTGAAGCCTTGTTGGTTTTCTAGGTTTCCAGTTTCCAAGATATTTCCCTACCAGGACCTTGTTTGTCTTGCTTTGGCAATCTGAGTTACATGTCCCCAGTCAATCGTAACATCCCTGGTTTCAGAACCCGTATTATACTAAGATTTTTAAAATCCTTGTAACCTATCCTTCATGCTGTTTCTTCTGTACCTGATCTGAATACTTTCCGAAGTAATATACATAACTACATTAAAGAGAAGATGGGGAAAAAGTTTTCATCCTTCACCCTTTCAGCTGCCAACCCCTGCCATAGGATTGGCTCTTAAAAACGCCAAGACTGATGACAGTATACAGAGAACACCACAGTTATATCCCTCGAATGGCCTCCAGACAGCAAGGGGAGTGTGCTGTGAAAGGTTCTTCTTTCCTCCAAGTTTCAGTATGTCACACTTGATAGAATAAGATAAATGTTGTCCCTGTGCATAATTAATTAAACATCATGCCATGAAGACATATGTGGCAGTGGAAATATAGCTCCGTTCTTGACCTCCACACAAGATGGAGGTTAGTGAGCAGTGTTATGCCCCTGCCGCTTTATTCCATGGATCCCAGAGCCAGTCCAGACACTGTAGAGAAGAAGAAAAAACTGTCCCATGCCTGGAATCGAACCGTGGCCATCCAGCCAGCATGTAGCCCGTCACTATACTCACTGAGCTGCCCCAGCCCCTCAATAGAATTGCTGAACTAATTGATGACAGCAGCCCATCTCGGCTGTGGTAAGTTTAATGCAGCCACTACCACTACCAGCCAGTCTGGTTGCGTGGCATGCAGAGGGTTGAAGCTGCACAGATGCAAGAGTAGTTTTCTATGTAGGTCCTCATAGATGGGCTGTTTTTCAGATCTTCTAGGCCCACACATCATTTTATGTCCTAAATAAGATATACAAAAGTATATAAGATATGCCGTCTTCACAATAATATTCGGTATTTAAAAAACAAAGAAGACACTACTGTATCAACATTTGCTTTAATTTTGTTTTTACAGATGCTACATGTTTGGACCCTTATACAGAGTCATCATCAGGCAAACAATACTCCAGTTTGAGCTGATGAATTGCAATTAATTGTCATCTAATTCTTATAATAAGGATCATTATTGTGTCCTGAAATTATTTAAACACATAAATACATATATTAAGTTTTGGTCAGAATTTTAAAGCTGAAAATCCTTAGATAATAAAATTTAAAATTAAAATTAGAAACTAAAGATGAAGGCATGAAAGTTAAAATTCTGTTTTTCTGATAAGACTCTGCAGCCACTACGTGTTGACCTGGTTTTCTGCCGGTGGAAGCGACTATAACGTGGGGCTCCCATGTATCGGAATCTTCTCACGTGGGATAGGTCATCTAGTCGTGTAACTCAAACTGGAGTATTGTATGCCTGATGACCCGGTATAAGGGTCGAAACATGTTGCATCTGTAAAAATATAATGAAGCAAATGTTGATACAGTAGTGTCTTCTTTGTTTTTTAAATACAGAATGTTGTTGTGTAAACGGCATACCTTATATACTTCTATATATCCTATTCATGACACACAACAGGATGCACACTATTAAGACTGTATGACCTGTCCACCTCCCATGGATATGATTTTCCATGCAACTTGACCGTAAACAAACCAGTTCTTGAGCTTACACACTTCAACGCTGAAGATGCAGGCACTGTGTTCCTCTGAACGATTGCTGCCACAAATTCTCAAAACTTTCATCGCATAGATAAAATGTAAGAAACCAGAATATTCTTACATGTTCTGAAAAGAGTGTTTGTTGTTTTGACCCTAGGGACATCCTGGAATTGGACCTGACATTGCCACAGGACAAGGTGCGAGAAGTGACAGACATCGCTGTGGCCCATGTGAATGCAGCTGCTTTGGAACTGCGGCGGCTCTTTTTGGTCGAGGATTTGATAGACTCGGTTAAATTTGGAGTGCTGCTGTGGTGTCTCACTTATGTTGGCAACTGGTTCAATGGCATGACCCTCATTATCATTGGTACGCATGCGTTTGAAGTACATTGATGGTTAAGTGTGTGTAAACTATTAGCACGGAACTCAAACTCCAACTCCTTTGGTCGTCCACCCCTGTAGCCAGTCTCTATACTGACTGCACTCCCCCCAGCTTCTGACATTGTGTATATGTAATCTAAAATGCAAGACACCAACATTTCACCCTTTTAATCATCATATTGACAGTTAATTTCTGGTTAGTAGATCTTTCTGGATCATCCGTTGCCAGATATCGCAGCTGTTTCTGCAGTCTGTTCTGTGTTTATTTCCAGCATTTGTGGCACTCTTTACGCTGCCCAAGGTGTATGAACATAACAAGGTACAGATCGACCAGAACTTGGACATAGTCCGAAGCAAAATAGCAGATATTACATCCAAGTAAGTACTGCATGCAGTTCCCATTCGGCGAAATTATAGTGAGAGGATTCATGTACCGAGGTGACATTCCTTCCTTCCTTCCTTCCTTCCTTTGGCGCTACAGCCCCAATTTGGGCCTAGGCCTACCTCCATGAAACTCTCCGTTTCACTTCAGTTTACTAGATCTTAAACATTCGGTAGGACTCCTTGGGTGAGTGATCAGCTCGTCGCAAGGCCTCTACCTGTGCACAAACACAGAAAAATGCACACCAAACATCCATGCCCTGAGTGAGATTCGAACCCACGATCCCGGTTTCCAAGCAAAGACAGTACATGCCTTAGACAGCGCGGCTACTGTGACCGGCAGTGTATAAGAATAATATATAAGAATTCAGTTCGTACCTCACAGGAAACAGATCCGAACCCACGATCCCAGCTTCCGAGCAAGCAAAGACAGTTCATGCCTTACTGCTCGGCTACCGTGACCGGCACTGAGATGACATTACTGAATGTTATTGTTTATAAGCCTGGAAATCCCATGCATAAAGCAGTGATTCATTGTGTTTAATTGAATTTTATACACAAAATGTTTATACTCTTAGATCAGACAGTTGGACATTGGATTCATTTATAATCTTATGTGTTCAAGAGCCAGGTATGTATTTAACAGATCTGAGAGCTCGGTTAATTTAAACATCGTATTACCATATATTAGCACATTAAGGACAGGTGATGACTCATTATTGTATCATATGCATTTTCCTGTCTAGCATCTTGTCATTGCAGTAATCAATTCTGATGCATCGGAAATTATTAAATTAAACTAAATCTAGGAAGAATGCGTCTTCTGGGATGTGGCGCCATCCGAGAAGACAGCATTATCTGTGGTCACTGCCGTGAAAATCTCAGATCTCATATAGACTGAAGCTAGTTCAATGTGGATGGGTGTATGCAACAGCTTTTACATGTGACGAAGTTAGTGGTGGATTAACTTCTTCTAAGACGTAATGCTGCATAGTTTAGTAGGTGCGTCCAAGCATTTCAAAGGAGCCCGCTTCCTCCTCCTACCCTGATGATAGAGGCAGGTGGTTCTTTTAAAACATTGGTGTGTACCTGACTACACAATGCCTGTTGCATCCCAGAAGACGATGGTCTTTAAAATTTGCCAGTCTGAAAAGTAGTCTTATTTCGTACACATGTACCATCAGAATATTGGGTGTTCACTTTTGTATGTAACTACAATTGAAGCTGATAACTTTTATAGTATACCGCTTGACAGGTTTTCTACTGTGCTTAGTATCAGTCAAATATAGAATGAAACTAATCTAATGCTTCTTCCTTTTGCAGGGTGAAGGCTGCAATACCTATTGGCAAGAAGCCAGCAGCAGAGGAGGAAAAGAAAGACCAATAAAAAGAAGACAGAAGGCATGGACATGAAATCAAGAAAGAACCAAGATGGACTAAAAGCATACAATGAATGCTGAAGAGCAGTTACGAACAGAAGTTCCAATTGAGGCCCTCACCTTTACTTGGCCTTTCCTTGCAATCTTATTGTAACATTTGCACAGTAACAGTTCTTCGCTACTACTGTTATTATTTTGTTTCTATTGTTATTGCCCTCTTTTGTTTAGAAACAGTGCCTCCCTACTTTGTGTTCAAATTTATGTACATAAGTTACAAAATATCAGAATGGTTCTTAACAAATTCTGGACTGCCTGTTGCCCATGTGCGTGTTAAGTGTTTCCATGCTCATAAGTTATGATTGTCTTAATTGTAATGTTTCAGTGGCAAGTTAGAAAATTTTTTTTATAGGGAATCGATATAACAGAGTTGGTGTTGCAGCCGTCTTTAGGCACGTCACATGGATCTGGAGACAATAATTACAGTCAGACAGACAGGCATCTCATTCAGTAGTGGTTAGTAATGGCAGCCAGTGTTGTAGTTTATGTTATGCTACAAAAGGAACAGATGGTGTTTATAAAAGCAGTTCCTGTGATTTTAATTGTCGTCGCCAGAAAAAGGTGATTGCTAAGATATGCAATTTTGAAACTGGTTGGGCTCTTTCCTGAAAGTAGAGATTATTATTCATTGTAGATTTGATTTTTTTATGGGAGGGGAGGGTTTTTTTGTTAGGGGAGGGAAGATATAAATATAATCATGTCAATATTTTTCATAGCATCAAATTTAAGCTTATAATGTGCATAAGAATGGTGGGCAAGGCGCCTTTTTGAATATAGAAAAGATCCAGAAAAGGTTCCCTTCAAAGGAAATTTATTACTTTGTAAGTATGAAAAACTCATCCAAAATGTTTACACGTAGTTTGTTGTTACATATTTCTCATAGCTAATTGTTTGCATGAAGAGCAAAAATTCTTGTTTCCTTCCATCACATTGCAGATTTTTTAAAAAATGTTCATGTGTTGCAAAAAAAAAAGTTTTGAATGCTTGTTTGGAAGGCTTTAAATGCTAGATGCTCATAGTCAGTGTTAATTCTTTATTATGAATCGTTATCTAAATGAGAAAGAAAGTATTTAGATGGTTAAACTTTATTGTGCAAAATACATGCCAGTGTTAAAAGCCTGGGCTGTTGACTCAAGTGAAAGCAGTTATGTGTTATGGTGTAGAAGAAATTCCTGTTCATTCTGACATTTTATTTTAAACTTGCAGTATCGAGATCAGCGATATTGTGGGTTGTGAATAATAAAATGTGGTTGCTTTATGACTGCTGCACGTATTTTTACGCTTCAGGATCTTTGTGACATCTGAAACATTCTGATGATAGAGGGTGACCATTGTTTACATGTGAATAGACTTTCTGGTGTGTATTACCATTACCATTGTTCTTCTATGTCACACTTCATCTAAATGTCCTCGGATTATTATGCTTCAAATAATGCCAGTGGAGCAGTGCACACAAAGGTTTTTTTGGTCAAATGCACATGATAATAGATTTGTAATAAAACTTAGCCTAATATTGGGAAGGAAAAGGGTTAATATCAATGCTACGTATTCATTTTAAAACCCCCCGCATTTCATACCAATATTGTGGATATACATATTTAAACAGAAATTTAGTTGGTAAAAATTCCATACCTCTGATGTAGTTTTTAAGAAAAATGTGGTGCAATGAAGTGAAAGATGAGGTGTCAGTGTTTAAAATATATGATAACAATTAATTATGCAGATTATCCTTGACATACTCATTGAGCTGTATTGATATGTGCTTTGTACACAAATAAAAAGGATTTAAAATGTGCTTGTACTGAATAGTCTGCATTTGAGTAAATGCAGAGGCCAAACTCTCTTCTGATCCCACTTTGTGATCCTTCCTTTCTCAGTCTACCATCATTCAAGTTACATTTGGTGTTTTAGTAATAATATTTGCTAATATTGGAGTCGTGGCCGGTCACGGTAGCCGAGCGGTCTAAGGCATGTACTGTCTTCTCTCACTTGGAAACTGGGATCGTGGGTTCGAATCCCACTGAGGGCATGGATGTTTAGTATGTGTGTGTGCGTTTTTCTGTGTTTGTGTACAGGTAGAGCCCTTGCGACGAGCTGATCACCCGCCCAAGGAGTCCTACCAAATGTGTAAGATCTAGAAAAACCGAAGTGAACAGAGAAGTTCGTGGAGGTAGGCCTAGGCCCACTGAGGCTGTAGCGCCAAGGAAAAAAAATATATTGGAGTCCTTTCTTCCTCTCACATATACTCTGTATGAGCAAATAGTGTAGCAGTACTAGAGGTGGACCCCCCCCCCTGAGGTTTTGATGGATTTACATATTTTCATCACTGAATATGATGAAGTGGCTTTCAGAACGCTGTCTGCACCTCAGCAGCACCTGGATGGTTGAACGGATTTTATTCGCATTCAGAAAGTTTATCTGTCATAGATCAGTGTTCGGTTAACATGAAACTCTCTGAAAATGGGCTCTCCAGATGGTTCAGAAAAAAACAAAAATTCTCAGAAATATCTGATTTTGATTAAGTTCAGTAATTTATGAAGATCACCTCTTTGACTTCAAATGCGTAGGTGATATCCTTAGGGACACAAATGCATAAGTTGATGCAGTAAGACAGTATTACAAGTTGAAAGGACTTCATTGCTCAGTATTCGGCAAGTAGCAAACAATTTCATCTCCAAGGTAACGTATAGGGACAGTTGTATGTAAGAGTATGTACAGTGTCTATACACAGACTTTTTACTTCATGCCATAAGGCAAATAAATAATGGGGGACTGTGAGAAGTCAAAAGCGTACAGGGGAGAAATGGATGAATTGTAGAAAATCATGTTACAGAAAGACAACATTGTTTTAATAACAAGGAATAAGAAATGAAAAAAACATGGGAGAGAATGAATGGTCACTTGAGAGGGAGAGTACTGTCACAATTTAGGGGTGTGTAACTATTAATGGGGTATGGATTTATTGACCACCCTTAACTACACTTTATACAGATCACTGACACAGACTAGTGTATACATTTTATTAGTTTCCACAAGCCGCGTCCTGGCAACAGTGAACGCAGTGCAGGTTCTTGAGCTTCCGGCACTCAAGTACTCTTGTCAACTGACAGCTGGGTCCCAGGCTGATGGCTGTATCACACCGACCTCCTAGTCTTCTCTTCACAGGCAGACTTTTAACTGAACTGTTGACAAGAGTCATTTAGTAAACTATTAGATTATTTAATGCTACTTGAGATAGGAAAATGAAATTGTATGGTGAAAAAGTATTTTGAAGGGGACAGTTGTGTCATATAGTCTAGATCTTCCTCATAGGCTCTTGCCTTCAGGTTTTATACTACAAAGCTGCATGCAGGTTTCTGTCACGGGTGCTACATGACCTGCCATCTTACACTCCCTTCACTTCCTCATTCTGATAATATCTGATAATGCGTACAAGTAATGAGGCTCCTCATTAGGCAATTTTCTACAGCTTCCTGTTATTTCAGCCCTCTTAGGTTCACATTTTCTTCTCACCACCCATTTTCAAACAAGGGTAGTGTTCCCTTAATGTAAGAGTCCAGGTTTCACACTCTTATGAAACTGCTGTCAAAATCGTGTTGCATTTGGTAATAGGAGCTTATAATACATGAAACATGCCACAGTTGAGCATTTCACAACTTGGAAACTTCGTTTAACATTTTTCTGTTCGGTAAGTTCAACATTTTAAGATCCAAGCATTCTAAAATTGGCTAACCGTAGTTGATCCCACTCTTCATAAATATTCAGTTCAGAAGAATCTGTAGGGGATTCCATGTTGGAAATCAGTCTTATAATGCTGTGGTTCCCAAATTGAGGTTTGGGTCGCTGTTATGAAGTGACAATTTTTGTTTTTTGGTTATATTGTGAGTTTTCTGGACAGCTTTTCCATGAAAGAAACATGTGTTGTAGTATGTCCAAACTTGACAGGAAAAGCATATGACTGTTCTGCCCAAGTTTGTGCTCGCAAAAAGACATCATTTTAAGGAAAAATTATAAAAATGACTGTTCATCTGCAGTTGTTTCAGAAAAGAAATGTTATTTTTCACAGTCCTAGTTGCATAGTTAAGACATGTGAAATTACACTAGCTTTTTTTCCTATGAGAAAGGAAGTGATTATGAAAGAAATGTGAGCTTGACAGTATGAATTTGTGTGTAAATGGAGCACACGTATATTGGAAGGGTGACCTGCATTTGTGGCTTTTGCACTGGACAGTGATAATGAAAGAAACTGACTTCTCCATTTCATGTGGTTTGAAAGTTTGTAGTTCATTTATACCTTCATGTCAGTTTCTGATGGCTTTATGAAAACCAAAGATGTTACTGTCCTGCAATGGAGAGCAGGCACGGCAATCTCTCTGTAGCACCAGTTGACCTTGAACATTTCTGCCGTTCATTCATGGACAGCTTAATTAGAGTGTACCAAGGTATAGTAAGTGTTGTTTGAAAAGTATGTTGATGCATTCAGCCTGCCTACTCTTAATAGTCATGAGAAACCATAAATCACCAAAATTTAAAAAGGAACACAAGGAAAAGAAATTCAAGAGAGATCTCACCACAGAGTTTCACAAAACACTCTTAGATATATTTCAAGACATTCACTGGAAATCTGTTTTTTTTTTAAGGTATCCCTGTAACAGGCCATGGAGGCCCATAGGGTTGTGAGATGTTGAGGTTCCCGCATTTTCTGTAGACAGTCTGCTCATAGATGGTGGCAAGGGTGTCAGCCCTATGGACCAGCCGCCCTTTACCCCGAAGAATATTCCTGGTACTCATTTCTGTTAGAGGCTGAGTCGACCCCAGGGCCATAGTGTGGCTGGAAGGGTTAGGCCAATTGAAAAAAATTCAGTTACCTCATCGGGACCTTCTGGCTTGTAGCATAGTGCCTCAACCAACTACACTACCGCGTGTTCCAGAAATCTGTTAAGATAGATTTAATATCATGTTGCAAAGTGATTAGTTTATTAGACACTCTACATACGTGTAGTAGGAGTTGCTATGTGGAAGGATAAAAAAGAACAAAGGAGTTAGTGGAGAGAACAGTAATAGTGAATTAGTTTAGTCAGGATTGCTGGGTTTTTGGACTTTGTCCATTGTCTGGTATTCTAAAGAGCATAAAAGAATTTCAGAATACCAGACGATGGGCAAAGTCCAATTTAGTGTTATATACTATTGTCAGAACATTTTAGAATCCAGTTAGTTTAACGTCTTTCTAATAGTGCATTGCTGTATGTAGGTTAACACTTATACTGTATATCTAAAATATCCTCAGTTTGAATTTCACCTGAAAGAACCTTGTATTCATTTCCCTTTAGTCACTCCAGGAAAATTCCATAATGGTACATAAAACGGGTTATAGCTTCCTCCACTAAAATTCCTCCCAATTTTCAGTTTGTACTCTGTATTTTGTCATCATTGCTTTAATTTATAATCTTAGCAGTTGACACAGCATTGGTAAACAACCATAATTCTGTAATGACTGTGAAGCCATGTTTTCCTATNGGTTATAGCTTCCTCCACTAAAATTCCTCCCAATTTTCAGTTTGTAGTGTGTATTTTGAACCATAATTCTGTAATGACTGTGAATCCATGTTTTCCTACAAGGTAATTTCTGATATGACACAGTTGCTTTCAAAGTGATGTCTTAAGTGACAAAATTCTCACTGATGTTAGAAGAGGAATGTTAGTTGTCTGCAAAGAAGACAAGATGCTGAAAATTGGATTTTTGGTTTTCATGTCAGTGAAGATTTATATTCAGGGTAAGACACAGATAATATGTTTTTAATGTATATCCCCAAAACATTGGTAGTCACATGTTGGACAACACATTGTCTGATGTCAACAGATAATACCACAGCGGGAAACTTCAGCTGACATGCCATTGGCCAGTAATGGTAATGGAAGGGGAACTTTGTGGCCCTAAACGCAATTCTAGATGGCAACAAATTCTTAGACTTTTTAAAATTGCAGTCACTATATTTTAAAATGTTCTGTCCATGCAATCGTGGTACTAGGTTATGTCATGGCATCCCAGCCGAATACAGAGCACCACACCCATTTTTATCTTTGCTCATACTTACATGTATTAATACCCATCAGCATCAATACTTCATGTTGTCAGTCATATCTAATCTGCTATCTTTACATAAGTGTTCTGGTCAGTGGCATTATCATGTCAACTGAAAATGAAAAGATGTGGCAACTAAAAAAGGTTATAATACACCTAAGAATTTGTACAGAAGATTCTACTTTTCATGCAGACCACAAGACATATCTGTCTCTCTGTTTGTGTGCTTCATCTCTCAAACCATTTATGGATTTCAATGAAATTTGGTGTGGAAAGTTCATACTAGGAGTTGTTAGGGAAATTTCCCTTCCTACTTTACATGATTTTGTAATAGAACTTTAACAACATTTTGTAAGGTGAGGTTGTTAGCCTCAATCCTTGACCTGTGTGAGGAGGGCCTCATCTGGCCTCTGTCCTATGACCAGTCTGGTTCGTCTGGGTGATGTTCCGAGGACCTTACACTGCACTATCATAGCTCTCCAAGTGGTCAATACATGTAGTCACCTCCATCACATTAAGACAGTACACCAGAGGGAAGACACGGAGTATTATACAAATGCTGGTTGCTAGTTGCTGGCCCATTAAGGCAGCAACTAGTATCAGACAAAAACTGAATATTAATTCACTTATTTCTGGTAATTGGCAAGATTCCAATTTGAGATTCAGAGTTGAGGGTAAGAAAGAAGAAGGGTCACCCATGCAAGTCGTTGCTTATCAGGGTCACACACTTTTATAGTCTTTATGATTATTATAATAAATAGGAAATTTTTTAAAAATTTAACAATAACCAAAGTTTTATAAGAGCTGTTTATTAGTTTATTTAATGATACTGTCAGAGCCGAGATAGCTCAGTCAGTATAGTGACTAGACTTAGAGTCTGGGCGGCCGGCGAATCAAGGTTTTATTCCCGGCGGCGACGAAAAATGTTTTTTCCCACCACATTCTCACCTGCTCTGCAGACCTCTCAGCTTCCTATCCAATGGGTACCAGGGTCCCTAATTCACAGGAGTAAAAGGACTGGGGTGTGAAGCTCACCATTCACCTCCATATAATAGAGAGTTTAAGAATACGTGAAGCTGTACCTCCACTCCTCAGACTTTTTCATGTCTTGGTGCGTAATTAAGCACAAGGAAATTTTACCGTTGCCCTAATGATATTTTATATGGGTGTAAATTTAGTCTCTTACGTTGAGGGCAGAACACAGATTGAGAATGATACACGAAGTTGTTATGGCGGTGATTACGGCCTTCTGGGATGTGACGCCGTGTAGTTTGGCAAACAGACACTATACTTCCTCTGTCGTCAAGATATATGCGGCTTATTCCCCGAAAGCGTTGGTAAATACCTGCTAGACCGCACGGCGTCACATCCCAGTGATCACATTCGTCGTGGGAACGTGAACCCGCTTGGCAACTGACAGCAGACAGTCCGGCCACCTAGCACATAGCCAGTCACTTTTTTGACCAAGGGTACCTGCGCAAATCATCACGCACGCACACACACACAATATATCGAAATATCGATAGATCCCTGGTCTTGCCTTCCTGGGGTAACTAAAGCAGACTTGCACACAATTACGGGTTATCGTAACTGAGATTTTTCGAGGGTTTCTTCAGTCTCTCCAGCCGAATTTTCAGATATTCAATTCAAATAGGCCACTACTAGTTCCTTCCACATTCGTATCTCTTCATCATTCACGATAAAATTACCACTTCATTCAATGCTAAATGCCTCTGCGGTTGAAACGGAGGCGTTAATTAGCGTAAGAATGAATTTGTCATTAAATTAAACGCATCCCATTAAGCAACAGTGGTCGACAGTTGTTACTATATGTACCACTTGCTTTAACGTTCAGAAACTGCATTTTCCAAAGTTAATTTGTTTGTGGGTTTCATATATACGAGTATATCTCAGAACAACCAGCGATTATTTCCCTATGTAACATTAACGTAATGGACTTAGCTCTAAAGACGCAGTGTTTTCTTTGTGGTTGGAACTAAGTTTTTAAATATTATTTGCGTGCACTTCAAGTTTCAAAGGACTAAGAAGTTAATAAAAGAGGCAACGTAAATTTTTCTTATTTATTTCTGTCAGGCTGAACAGTGTCAGACCCACTATTTTTTATTACGCCCGAAGGCAAGTGTATATGCCTCGCTCAGAAAAAGGGATCAAATATTTGGCAGAGATTTGAATTGGCTGGGGGAGGGGTGAACGAACTCAGGCGAGAGGGTGGAGTGCTACAACTCGCTCCTGTCCCATTATCCCAGTGTTCTTGAATCGTTGTCCTATCGACTACATCAAGCAGAGGTGGAAAGCAGCATTCGTTTTTTTTTTCGGGAGTTAATGTAAACGTATTCAAATGAGATGTTAACTAGTTTGACTGGACATATAAATGTTATAATACATTAGTTTTCTTTTTATAAGTTTGCATCCTGTTTGTGTTTAACTTCCAAGACGTAAGATTAACCGTTACGCAAAGTTAAGTAAAAATTCTTTCATGATTTCATTTATTTTACATGTTTTCGACCATAAAATGTCATCATCAAGTGTCATACTCAAACTAGTCAAAACTGTCTGTAGTATGAGTGTAAATATTGTTGTAACGCAGGCACACAGAGTGAACTGTGGTTTAGGTCGCATTAATTTTACAAGGATGTAAGTATACCTTG